AATGGTGCTGTTAAGAAATTATTGCTTATACAGACTCTTTTTTTCTACTTGAGAAGCCTAGTTCCCTTAATTTTTTATGATTAAAATGAATTTTGAAATTATTCTTTCAGAGATCACAAGTCTGTAGCTAGAGCCAAGAAAAGAGTAAGAAAGAAATGGAAGAATCTTTCCATGCCACTGCACTGCACTGACTGGGGTGCCGTTAGCAAATGCCCAATATTTTCCAGGTCAAGCACAATTACGGTATTGAGGGCATTGCAAATGAGCTTTGTTCTTCCACTATGTATCAGGGAGGATTCTAGGCTCTCAGCAGTGAGTTTATATGTGCTTCTATTTCTAGAGAGTTACTGCTCTTTGCTCAACAAATTATCTGCTAAACGTTTTTTAACATGGAAAAGCAGTTGTCTATTATTAACTGGGTAAATATGCAAACTGTATAAGACACACACACACACACACACACACACACTAAGGGACTTCACAAAGCTTATAGAAAATCCTAGTGTCTTTCTTAATGTACAATTAAAAAATCCTAGTATCTTTCTTTCTTATTATTAAGTACTTGTATTGGAGGCTCTTACATCCCATCACAACCCACACATTCATGCATTGTGTCAAGCACATTTGCACTTATGCTGCCGTCAGCATTTTCAAAGCATTTTCTTTCTACTTGAGCCCTTGATGTCAGCTCCTTAGTTTTCCCCTTCCCTCCCGCACTGTGCTCCCTCATGAACCCTTGATAAGTTGTTGATTATTATTTTCATATCTTACATCGTCCTCTGTCACCCTTCACCCGCTTTTCTGTTGTTTGTCCCCCTTGGAGGGGGTTATATGTTGATCCTTGTGATCGATTCCACCTTCTTCTCCCCACCTTCCCCTAATCCTCCTGGTATCTCTATCTCATTGTTGGCCCTGAGGGGTTTACCTATCCTGGATTCCCTGTCTTGTGGGCTCCTATCTGTAGCAGTGTGCATGATCTGGTCTAATCCAATTTGTAAGGTAGAATTGAGGTCATGATGGTTGGGGAAGGAATCATTAAAGAACTAGAGGAAAAAAAGAAAACAACAACAACAAAAGAACTAGAGGAAAGTTGTGAGTTTCATTGGTGCTATATTGCACTCTGACTGGCTCATCTCTTCCCTGTGACCCTTCTGTGAGGCGATGTCCAATTGTCTACACACGGGCTTTAGGTCTCCACTCCATGCCACCACCACACCCTCACACCCCAACCCGCATTGGGTATGATTTTGTTCTGGGTCTTATATGCCTGATCTGTGATCCCATTGACACCTCATGATCACACAGGCTGGTGTGCTTCTTCCATGTAGGCTTTGTTGCTTCTCAGCTAGATGGCTGCTTCTTTATCTTCAAGCCTTTAAGATCTCAGATGCTATATCTTTGGATAGCCGGGCACCATCAGCTTTCTTCACCATGTTTGCTTATGCACCCATTTTGTCTTCAACGATCGTGTTGGGATGGTGAGCATCACAGAATGCCAGATTATAAGAACAAAGTGTCCTTGTGTTGGGGAAGTACTTGAGTCAAGGCACAATGTCCATCTGCAACCTTGATTCTTAACATATAGACATAAGTACATAGATCTATTCCCCTCTCATTATATATATTTACATATTTACGTGCCCATATTTAGGCCTTTATAAATGTCCTTTGCTTCTTGGTTCTCTCCTCTATTTCCTTTTACTTTCCTCTTGTTCCACCACCACGTTCAGCCTTCATTCGGTTTTAGTAATTCCTTGCTGCTACATTGCCCTTGATTAAGCCCCACTAGGCATCCTATGACCTTCCTTCTATTGATTATAGTTCACTTGCTGTTCTCTTGTTCCTCGGTTGGCTACACCCCCCTCCTTTCTCCCATCTCCCCTTCTCCCATATCCCCCCACAATCATTGGTCCCATTCTTTTAATCTCCAAATTGTTTATCCCACCTATCTTATCTAAATAGACATGCAGAGACATTAATGAGTGCAAAAAACAGGCAAAGCCAGCCAAAACAACTAAGGAAATCAAAACCAATAAAACAATAGCAATAACAATTAAAAAACAAAACAAAACAGCAACAACAAAAAGAAAGCCACTGAGAAAAATGGAAAAGCCTATAAATAGTTCAAGGTCTGTTTGTTGGCCTTTACAAGTGTTTTCCAGTGGAGTCTAATGGGGTGCCACGCTATGTCTGCAAAATCTATTTTTGGTATTCCCAGGGGATTTCAGCACTTTGCTCCCCTTGCTGCTCTGTTGCATGCCCTTAGTGTTTCACCCCAGTGTGATGGTGCCAGATTGGGCATAATTCCCGCACTGGGTCTCCACCTAGTATCTTTCAATTCATTTTCCACAAACTTTGAATCCCTCTCATATATTTAGAAGAATATATATGCAAATATTATTCATAAGAAAATATATGAATGAGAGGGTTTCAAAAAGTTCATGAAAAAAAATTCCATTATCTCTTCATTTCACTTTTCACCAGCATTTTGAAAAATATATTTACACACACATGTGTCCACACATACACACACACACGCCAGACTCACTGCCATCAAGTTAATTCTGACTCATAGCAACCACATAAGAATCACATTTAGAATCACAAAGATATATAGTAACTGCCAGCCATGTAAAAAATCAGATTGGCAACATGTAAGAATGTTCATTAGTAGGCCACTGGAGATCCCCTTGCAGAGGGGTCTAGGGGAGGAGATGAGCCAGTCACGGTGCGATGTAACAATGATGAGAAATACAACCTTCCTCTAGTTCCTAAAGGTTTCCTCCCCGCTCCCACTACCATGACTCGAATTCTATCTTGCAAAACTGGCTAGACCAGAGGAGGTACACTGGTACAGATAGGAACTGAAAATACACGGAATCCAAGACGGATGAGCCCTATAGGACCAGTGGTGTGAGTGGCAAAACAGGGAGGGTAAAGGGAGAATGGGTAGGGAAGAGGGAACCGATTACATGGAACTGTGTGTGACCTCCTCCCTGGGGGACAGACAACCAAAAAGTGGATGAAGGGAGACGTCGGACAGGGCAAGATATGACAAAATACCCATTTATAAACTATCAAGGGCTCATGCGGGAGGGGGGAGCGGGGAGGGAGGGGAAAAATGAGGACCTAATGTCGGGGGTTTAAATGGAGAGAAAATGTTTTGAGAAACGATGTACAAATGCGCTTTACACAATTGATGTGTGTATGGATTGGGATAACAGTTGTATGAGCCCCTAATAAAATGTAAAAAAAAAAAAAAGAGTGGAAAAGAAAAACGAGACTACGTAATTGGCCAATCATGAGGACCAGAAACAGCATACCTGGAGTTCATCAATGTCTCACATACATGCATACAGTTTCGTCTTTTATAAATTAACAACATTTGGCTATAGGCCTTCAGCTTAAAGGAATTCTGAATACAGTTGTATTATCTACTTCTGTCTTACATATGATAAATTTGAGATTAACCCTGAACACTTCTAAGTTGTTCCTTATGCATCTGGACTGTGAAAGTTCTTGGACTACAGACATTTACAAAATCTTTTTATTTCTCTTGAAAAAGAAAACATTGCTATGAGAATCACTATAATGATATTCTCTGCGATAACTAGAGGCTATGTGCTTTAATTCACAGAAAGTGATTATTTCAGAAAACTGGGTTGGGAAATACACATTATTATGGATTAAACTGTGTCTTACCTGTTCCCACCCGTACCCCCCTGACACACATCACCCTCCCCACAGGAAAAAAGAATCATGGCCAACTTGGAAAGGTGATGATTCTCAGTAGTATGTTATTATCCTCCATTTTGTGATTTCATGTAATTATCCTGTATGCTGTAAATCTTGATTTCTATGACACTGATGATACAGGGTTAGTGGTAGTTTTATCAGTGAGACTGGACACGATCTACAAGCTTAGGCTATTGCTTGAGATGGGAAAGATTAGAGAATCAAGCAGAGGGGTCTACTGTGACCAAGAAAAAAGAGCTGGGAGTAGAGTCCATGATTTGGACCCAAGGTCCTTGTGTTAGGAAACTTTAAGGCCCCCAAACAGACTGATGATGAGTTCCCCCAAAGCCACTAGATATAGAAAGCCTTCCTTGCAGCTGGTACTCTGAATTCAAACTTCAAGCCACGTACACTGTGAGAGAAGACATTTCTGTGTGTGAAAGCCACCTCTTTGTGGCATTTCTCTTATAGCATCACTCCATAACTAAGACAAAGCTTTGGGGCTTTCTTTGTCATGTTCATAAGACCATATAGCGGTACAGTATGTCATAACCTAATCACTTTTTAGTTTAAAAAGGGAAACTTAGGCCCAGAGGCATCCAAGCACACATGGGAGAAAGATAAAAATAAAATAACATCCCTGGCCACCGAGTGGATTCAGATTCCTAGCAATCCTATAGGACAGAGTAGAACTGCTCCTTATAGTTTCTGAAACTGCAAACATTTATGTGCGTGGACAACTTCACCTTTCCTCCGCAGGGTCAATGGTGGGTTGACATCACTGATCTTGTGGTTAGCAACCCAGGGTTTAACCCACAGGCCAGGAGAAAACTACAAAAAAGAAACTGAGGACCACCTAGCCTATAGAGACAGGGCTCCCCCAAGAGCGGACATAGAATGAGTTTTCACCTATAACTGGCCCCAGAATTTGGATATCTGGTCTCCTAACCTGTGCAAAAACTAAATTTCTGTTCTGTAAAGCTGCCCACTTGTGGGATTTATGTCACAACACTAGGAAAATAGGACACAGGTTGTCCTATTCACTTGTCACAATAATAACATTCTCCTTCTGTTTATCTTCGCAAAACATCTTACCCGGTATCAGACATACACTTCCCACACCATTGGTCACGAACACCTACAGAGGCTCTCGCTTTGCACCTAACAAAGTACGAAACTAGCAGAATCAGGAACAAACCACCACCAACCCCACAAAAAAGCAAAGATTTTTATAAAGCACATGAATAAAACTAAACCGAATTTACCTGTGCAATGATGCCTGTAATTTCTGAGTAACTATGGCATCTTCTCACGCAGGAGCGTGCCAAAAAGTCTTCCACCAGCCGAGTTCCAATGCTGTATCCCCTAGGGATAATGGAAAGAATGCCATCTCAAAACAGTAGCTGAGGAATGAGTACGCCTCCCCGTGTTTCTTCATCTGTTCAGCATGTCATCTTTGACATAAAGATGACATATATATATATTTCTCTATGTTCCTTTTTTTTTCCCTTCCAGAAAGGGTTGGGGAATACACAACCCTTTACACAAATACACAATATATATATATTTTTTTATTGCCAGGACAGATTTCAGCAATTGGAATTCTGAGTTTCACTTTTTCACTTTTAATTCTAGGCGGAAACCTAACCTATGCACCTTAAGGCAGGTATTTTATTATTTCCACCCCATAGGAAATCTTCTGAGAGCATCTTATTGATGTGTTTATACAACTGAACATAGAAGCTAAAAGGAGTGAGCATACACCAGCTATACGAGAGAATGAGAATCTATGAAGCTTCTCAAAGGAGTATAAGAATTCTGTCTCTCTAATTCAATTTAGTTAATCAAAGTTGACCTTGATGGTGAAATTAAAAGGGACAAAGACTTCTTTTGCCTAGCCACTAGCACAAAATTGGTTCATTTAGCATAAGAACCATGTGTACATAAATACATTATTTGGATGAACGAAAGATGTTCAACAAGATAAGACTCTACCATGTTGTACAAATAACAATTGCTCTAAGGAGTACAAAAGAGGTGAGGTTTTGCGACTGGCTTATAGTTGCGGGAAGACTGATTTGGTATTAGAGTATCTATTTATTGACTAGTTCCACTGGCTGGAGCCCTGATGGTGCAGTGGATTATGCTCTGGGCTGCTAATTGCACTTTGGGCTGCTAACTTTAATGTCAGAAAACCTCTCCAAGAGAAAAAGATGAGGCTTTTCCAAGATTAACATGCTTGGAAACGGACATAGGCAGTTCTACTCTGTCTGATAGGGTTGCTACGAGTTAGAATACGTGACTCAGTGGCAGTGAGTTTGGTTTCAGTGTTTAGTCAGTTCCAATAGGATATTCTAGTTATTATTCTGAATGGTCAGAAATATTCAATTCAGCATACTTGAATTTCAAGAAAAAGATGAATAAATCTAGCAAGAATTCTGACATTAAGCATATTTCAGAGAAAGTAATGTCTATAGGACACAATAGTGATCAGGGTTTTCCTCTCTCCCAGTGTTTTATAATCATCAGGATGGCCCACCAGAGCCTCCGGGGAGAGCGAGGGGAGCCCGGACATGCAGAACAGTGCGACATCTATCCTGGGTGTGTTAAAGCAAAGTACACGTTTTAACAATCAAATTAAAAATGTCAAATGCTCGCAGAAGAGGCTATTGAGAAACGCAAGTGAATTCCTTCTTCTCTCAAGGGAATCAGAATGCATTTCCTTCATATTTGTTAAAATGTCCACCCAAGTAGAAAACCAATATGTTTGTGTTTTGCCAAGTAAACCAGCATGCTTTTGCTTTTTGTCAAGTACATGAGCTTCTGAGTTTTTACTGCAGTTATTCCACAAAACGATTAAGGGCAACAGAAGCTGAAAACCAGCCACCGAAACCCGGTGGAGGGCCGTTCGACTCTCACCCTCTTGGGGTGTCATCCTGATCAGAAACAAGCTCCTGTCAGTCACCATGCAGTTCAGCAGAGGAGCCAAATTAAGACGAGAGGAGCCTAGTGGTGCAACCGCTACCAGAAAGGCTGGCGGTTCCATCCCAGAGGCACCGTGGAAGCGAGGGGCGGTGATGCGCTCTGTAGAGATGACAGCCTAGAAAGCCTGCAGGGCAGGGCCACTCCGACATGGGGTCCTCGCGATTTCAAATGGACTTGAAGGCACCTAACAGCACCATAAAAATGGGCATGAGCCAAACCAAGCACTGGACGCTCAGCAAAGAACTTCCAAAGAGAAAAAGAATAAGCATAGAGAAAAGTCCTTTCTGAAGAGAAGAACTCAAGGATTCAAAGAGAAAATCTTTCCGCTTTCCTTTAGGCCTTTATATTGTTCTCTTCCAACTGCAAATATTATGAATCTTTTAAAAAAAGTTTTAATATGATCAAGTAAGCTAAATTTCCCCCCTCAACTTACCTAAGTAGTAAATAAACAAACAAAAACCCCTCTTCTAATCAGCATACATTTCCTAGTCATTGTCCTCTTAGTTTCCCTCTCAAGGCTCATAAGTAAAAGTTTAAACACGCTGACTGAAAACAAACAAACACGTTGATTGATATTTTATTGTTGAGCAATAATGATCAAATAACTACTTTGAAAAAAATGAAATTTGTGTATGAGAAAACTCCATTAAGAAAGATAAGAACGGGTTTTATTTTAAAAAGAAAAAATGGCTGAGTTTTCCTTTTATTTTAAGTAGAGCATCATCGTGGCTAAAAATATTCACACAATAAAAACCATACATTGTTGAAAAAAAAAAGTAACAATTTCCTTTACCCATAATTCCAGGGTGCCTTGATATCAGAATGGCTAAGCAATCAGCTGCAAACCTAATGGTTGGCAGGTCAAACCCAAGAGCTGCTCTGTGAGGGAGAAGCCCCAGTGATCTGCTTCCATAAATATTCTAACCCTATGGGCTCTTCCACTCTGTTATCCAGGGGCGCTATGAGCTAGAATCGCTTCCACAGCACGAGACACGGGGACAGACCCTTAGTCTCCTGTGCCATAGCTCTCCTCCCTGAAGTAGACTTGCTTCCCTAGCCTTCCTTAAGTGACCTATGCATATTGGAAGGAATTGTGTAAGGACAAGAGAGTGCAGAAGAGAATCACACCTGATATTCTAAAATGTGGTTGAAAGAACAGTGTCTTATCACCGTCTTTATTTTAGGAATGATTTCTAACTAAAATAAAAGACTCTTTCACACTCATGAACACACTTCCTTCCTATTCCTTCATGTTATCAACCCCTAGTGGCCGTGGTAAGAAATTATGTTCAGCTTTAAGATGCGAGTTAGTGAAATCACTGGTAAAATGGAGATGATCTCACAACATGGCATGCACTCCACAAGAATGAAGCTTTTCTACTTACATGTTATCTAAATATTTGTTCACGTCTTCATCCTTTTCATAATCCTTACACAGCTGGGCCACCAGAGCTCCATAGGTAAGGACGAAGAGATCTTTGTTCTGGAGGAAAAGGATGGTTTCATGTTATGGACAAAGTTATAAGTAATAGACGACTGTATTTCTTTTTCTTTTTTAAAAAACAATTTTATTGTAATATAACTCACATATAATACGATTCAATAGTTCAGTCAGATCAAGAAGATTTGTACCATCACCACCACTATCAACTTTAGAACATTTTCATTGTTCTTATACTCATTGTTATTAGCTCCCCATTTCCCTCAACCCCCCTGGCCATATTCTTCAGGAACCATTCATTCGTTTACACTCTATAGATTAGTCTATCCCGGGTTTCCCATCGCAGGAGCCCTGTGGTGTAGTGGGTACGGTAGTAGGTACACCTTGACCTGCAATCCTCATGGTTGCCAGTTTGAAACCACCAGTGCTCTGTGGGGGAAGTTCTGGGCTTTCTACAGTTACAGTCTTGGAAGCCCACAGGAGTCAGCATTGACTTGATGGCAGTGAGTTTGGGCTTTTTGGGGGGAGGGGGGTATTTATATAAAGTAAGACACTTAAAAAGCAAAACAAAAACCTAGCTATAATAACAAAGTAAAACAGATAAAAAATATTAAAAGCAAAAACAAATTCAAAATGAATCAAATGATAAGGTGTTAAATTTTAGCCTAACTATATCTGCAATGATCTACTTTGCGTTCACATCCCTGGTCTATGGTCAGGGATTGGAAGCAGCCCTAGAGATTGTCTGTTCAGGTTTTCCGTCCTCCTACTAATCGGAACAGCACCCTTTCACTCTTGAGAACATGTTGTGCTGTCCTTGAAATACACTGCGAAGAGGAACAAACTGTGGAATATATATATTTCATATTAGAACTTCTTTCTATGCAATTTGCTTATATGACATAAGTTCAAATATACTTTCAGGGATTAGGGCCCTTCCAATAGCAATTGCTATCATAAATTACTATTGTTTTTAAATTGTCTGTGTTGTCTTCCCACCCTGCTTTCAAATGGAAGGAATCAGTGGGTGAGACTTCCCTGAGTATGCACAGCCACCGATGGAGCCCAGACCTGCCAAAGAGACATTCAAGAGGGACCCGAAGTTCCCAGCTAATGTGTAAGCACTTTTTTCTTTCCAGGTTTCTTTTTAATTAGAGGGAAAGGGGGACTTTTCACTTTCCGTACAGTATGTGTCCTATTTTCTGAGAGAATTAGAAATAAAAGATAAAGCCATGTGCTTTAGCTAGGTGGTGAATACAGGAAACAGAAGAGGAAAACCCCAAGCGCTCCCTGTGCAAAAGGCTTTCTGTGTTGCCCCTGCTATTAAACACTGTGCTTGAAAGGGAAGGGATCTGAGAGGTCATGTAGTGCAGCGTCCTCATCCTAAAACAGAGTGTGCCGCCTTGGGAGGGTGGAGGATTTGCCCAACTACACAGCCAGCACCCGGGCCAGGATAGAGCCTCTGACTCTAGTCTGACAGCATTGATCTCTGGGGAGAACAAAGCAAGTCCTGTCTGGAGGAGAGGTGAACAGGGTGGAGGAGAGAGAGGAGGGGCTGCTGGTGATAGGATGCCTACCAGGAGGGTCCTCTTACTTTCAACATAATCTTTTACTTTCATGAAAAGACAGTATGTCTCCAGATGCCAAAAGGTGTCCTTACCTCTATGCTCAAGTGTCTCAGATAGTTAATGTGGAGCACAAGATAAGGCCTTATAGTGAACATTCATATTCTCTCAGGTATATATATATATACCTTGTTATATATATTTGTTATATATATATATAACAAATCACTGTTATATATATATATATTTGTTATATATATATAACAAATCACTGTAATGTCACCATGTGCTCAATTTAATTCTGTGCTTTTTCTTCCAATCGCACAAGAACTGTAACATATATCACAAGAAATGCCTAGAAATATCTCCCTAACATATAGAAAGTCGCCGAAGATAAATTAATGCTATAGCTAATACATACTACAGCATAAAAACAAGCAAAGGTGAAGGAGAGGGGAAGGAAAATGTGTGTGTGTGTGTGTGTGTGTGTGTGTGTGTGTGTGAGAGAGAGAGAGAGAGAGAGAGAGAGAGAGAGAGAGATTCTGCATGGGAATGGGGACATACAGCCTTTGTTGCCACATCAGTACAATAAAAGAATTTGGGGAAATGACACAAGGTGACAAAATTATATTCTGCCTTCAAGTCATAAACATTGTGCTTATTTATAATCAACCCCCAACAATAACATTGCCTTTTTCTCTTTCTGACAGGTATACCTGAAATATATTTTACTTCCAGATGAGTTTCAAGTTCAATACCCATAATGGTCTGTTTACTTTATTCTGCAACATAACCAAGGGCTGTTTTTACCTTGGACTATGTGTATAGTTGAGTCTCAAGTGCATACCATTGACACAGGGAGGATCAACAAAAACTTATCTTCACAGTTCTTAAAACCATAAGAAGTAATCATTTTCATGTATAAAAGAATACAATGAAATGTTTAGGAGATTTGAGTACCTCAGAATAAAGTATTCTTTAACTGATGTATAAATCAAGTGCTTCAGGTATGAATTGTGTACAGTAATTATATACTTTTATTAGCATCTGAAGAATGAATTCGGATTCTGACATGCAAAGAGGGAGCCTGCAGGCATTTACAACTGGAGTCTGATGGTTGTTGACTACAATTCTAAGGACCCCGGGCTGAAATTATTTTAGTGTATTCAGTGCCTATCAGTCTCCTAAAATGGTGAACAGAGATTTGAACACAAAGATGACAATTTACATTTTCAACTTCTTAGTACTTAAAGCTTCAATTGGAAGATTAAATGAGAATATGCATCCAAATATGGCCTGTAAAATACCAAATTTTGAAAATAGCTGTCAAATCCAATTATAGACAGGATTTAACACATACCACATTATGATAATAAGCACATTTAAGAGTACGAAGTATATTTTTAAAGGCAATCATTCAATACCTAGTATTCTGGTGATCTATTATTATTCAATTTAACATGCTTTAACAATCTTATATACATTTCACTTCTTATTTTATATAATAGTAACAAAGAATTACTTGATCTTTTTATATTTTCTGTCAGAGGCAAAAGAAAAAAATTGCTGCTTACATGGATATAACAAGTTAGAAAAGAATGCCCTAAAATATGTATAAAGAATTGATTACTCTGTTGCGATATATAAGAAATAGGTGTGACTATTCCCAGAATTGCCATTCATGATTCCTTCCATTAAATACTTCCTTTGCGCCAGTGAAAAAATTCTACATATAACATCACCTTTCAAAATAAATCAGAAATCACTCAAGAAACCATTGTCTCTGAAGTAGAAAAACAGTATCTTCAAGAATCTGATTATAAAAAGGTCTTACTATTTTAGGATATCCTGGTCTTCTTTGTGCAGGGCGAGACATAGCTTTGGGTAGGTGAAGAATACGGTCTTCAATTTCTTTCTGTCCCACCCTAGAACCTCAGAGCCTTAGTCCTAGGTTTGTTGTTGTCACTCCCTCTTTCGCTTTGAGGCAGAAGTGCTCTTTCTGCACTGGGCTGCTTCTGCTTTCTGATGAACTGAAGAACGCAGTACTGTGTTGTAGCCACCTACCTTGCCACAGATCAAATAACTGCTTCACTTGTGAGGATAAGCAGCATCCCCGAGGCCTGAAAGCTGATAGCATGCAGTCAGAACCCAAAGAACCGAGGTACTGAAGATTCTTTAACCCAAGGGACGTCAGAGAAGTGGTGTTCTGTTCTTGTGCCAAGGTGTTATTTTGAAATCACAAACAGAAACCTTCACAATCCAAGATAGATCTAAATGTTAGCATTATCCAGTCTGTATTGATTGGTGTATGAATAAGAGAGACACAATCAGCAGTCTGTAGGTACTAAATCCTGGGTTCAAACCTAATCAACAACTCTAATGGATATCACATTGTCTGAAAAACAGACTCCCCACCCTGCGTGATTATAGAATTCAGCTACATCTAAGACTCTTTTTCTTTTCATAAGCAGCAACTTCAAGGAGTGATAGAATTCGGGTGACATTTTATTACAAAACTTGCTCAAAGTGGGTGCTCTACAATTCAATAATGTATAATGATTTTGGCACAAACCGCAAGCCCTTAGCTTTCTTTTGATAGTTCCTGAGATGTTAGCTATCAGAACCTCTCTTTATTTAAACACAAGTATAAACATTTAAAGTTCAAATGAGAAACCCTCTTATCTTGACAACTGCAGGGTGGTGGGGATCAAAACAGTTCCAGAAATAGATGCATGCCATTCTGTTTAAGAAATTAGTGTATAACTTGTTACAGCTTGAATCCATTAGCACTACTGGTTCCAGAAAAGTCTTGCTATAAGAAGACAGACTGGTGACCACTTTGAAGAGGACTGCTGAAAGGACCTAGGAGCATTTGGAGGCCCAAGGAAATTTGCAGCTCTGCCTTTTACTGGCTGTGTGATCCTGGTCACGCCATTTTATTGCTCAGTTCTCCACATCTGCACGTAATAGCAATAATAATAACCACCTCACAGAATAATTGCAAGTATCAAAGAGATAATGCATGTGATAAAACACATTCTAATGGATTATATAAACACTAATTAGTGTGGATCTTTCTTATAGGTGAATGTACTGAATTCAATTCTGTAATATGTAAGACATTTCTTTTAATCCCTATGTCCCATAACCCCGTGCTCAAAAAAATCAATTTCTGTGGGTTGATGGTTTGGGGAGGTTTTGTGTAGATCAAGTCATAATCCACACTCATATAAACTTGGGCAGCCGCGAGTGGTACAACTATGTAGTGCACTCAGTGGTGAACCCAAGGTTGGAGTGTCAAAGCCACTAGAAGCACCTCAGAAGAAGGTCTGGTAACACAATTCTGAAAAATCAACCGCTGAAATCCTTGTGAAACACAGTCCTACTCTGACACATATGAGTCAAGTCGACTCATCGACAAGGGGTTTTTATAAACTTTACAGTTTATAAAATGGCTTTCATTTTCATTCTAGTGTAGCCTTTAAAATCGCCCCGACTGTCACAATTATCACTTTATAGAATAAGAATCTATAAATTAGAGAGGTTCATAAAATTGTTCAAGGCTGGATGTAGTTCTATGCCATCAAGCTGTCTCTGACTCATAGTGTCCTGTCTGACAGAGTAGAACTTCCCCATAAGATTATTGGATTATTATCTTTATGAGAACAAATCACCAGGTCTATTCTCCCGTGGTGCCTTTGGAAATAGTTGAACTGTCAACCTTTTGGTCAGTCACCGAATGCACTAAAGTGCTTAGCCATTCAGCCAGTAAACAACACTGAGAAACATGGGTTCTATTTGCTGATTCCAAATGATTTAAAGCCCTACCACACTGAATCTCATCATATTAGAGAAAATTATTGTAGAGGCAGACTCCTGACGTGAAGGACACCACATTGCTGGGACCGACAATCTGTTTGGGGACCATTTTGAGCTCTCTGTGCAATTCCTGAGCAAAACATGAGCAAAGTCTGTGAACTTGTTGGGGGGCGGGGAGGAATGGTGCTTGAGTAGATCTCACTAAGAGTTGGGGTGGGGCGAGTGTGCGAGACACACGATGAGAAGTCAGAGGACGTGGGTGAGTTCGTGGGCTGAGCTGAGTCCCTGTCAGGTACAGTTGCATAGGACACAAGCTATACAAGTACACTTGTAAACACGTCTTTACTTGGGACACTACTGTTTTTCAGACTGAGAAATCCACCTGCCTTCAACAGCTCCAATGATACCAGAGAGCCTCGTGTTACTCAGTCTTTCTTGTTATGCAAACCACACCGTCCTTAAGTAGAAGAAACCACAGAAGTTAGGTTTTGAACAGGAAGAAAATCTATTGTTCCCTGGCATCAAAATGGGAAGAATGGTCATTTCAAAACACGCAGAAGGAAATTTTCTCATTTAGCCTTCCTGGGATTGACTTATGGTCTATGGATCTGGAGATGGGCACAAAGAAGTGTTCTTCAATCACTTCACTGCTCTTTGGTGCTCTTCCTGATCCTGGTCCTTTAGCAGGCATCTGAACAACTGAATAGAGATGTAGGGGATGCAGAGAGAGCACATTGTCCCCTGATCTGCCAGCTGCACAACTGCTATCTGAGATCCCCCACAAACTATTAGATAAGCCAAAACTCTTCCAGCTCCCATAACATCAGGTCGATGGGCTTATTAGTTTTTGTAATTTCATTTCCTACTCACAACTGCATTTAGTGTGGTGAAAAAAAGCTGATGGTGCCCGGCTATCAAAAGATATAGCATCTGGGGTATTAAAGGCTTGAAGTTTAACAAGCAGCCATCTAACAGGGAAGCAACAAGCCCACACGAAAAAATCACACCAGCCTGTGCAATCATGAGGCGTCGGGAGGATCAGGTAATAGGCACCAGAAGACTCAAATCAAACAAACAAAGAAACGTATTGTTGAGAATGAGGAGGATTGGAGCAGAAACCCAAAACCCATCTCTAAATGGGACATCCACTCGCAGAAGGGTTACAAGGAAGGGATGAGTCAACCAGGGTGAAGTATATCACCAGTGAAATACACAATATTCCTCTGGTTCCTTGAGGCTTCCAGACCCCCCACTATCATGACCCCAATCCTGTCTTTCACTGTGGACTAGCATGTACACAGGTACAGATAAGAGCTCAGGACACACGGACTCCAGGTCAGATAAACCCCTCAGGAACAGAAATGAGAGTAGCGATACCAGGAGGGTAGAGAGAGGGTGGGGAGGAGAAGGGGAAAGTAACAGTGGAGGATGGGAGATAGCGGTTGGTGTAAGATATGAAATTAATTATAATTTATCAAGGGGTCACAAGGGTGGGAGGGGTTAAGGGAGGGTAAAAAGAGCTGATACCAAGGGCTCAAATAGAATGTAAATGTTTAGAAAATAATGATGGCAAGATATGCACAAATATGCTTGATACAATTGATAAATATGGATTGTTATAAGACCTGTAAGAGTCCCCAATAAAATGATCTTAATAAAAAGAAACAACCCCACCCTACCCCCTGTGTTTAGTGTTTATTGTAACCTGGTATTTCGCCTAAAATTAGTGTGTGATTTGGTCTGTATTCCAGTTCCCCTGATGACTATCCTCCCTCCAACTGAGACCACCTTACCTTCATCCACATGTCAAATGAAGAGGATCCGTACTGAGGAGCAGATATATACTTACTACTTGTTGGGTACCCAGATGGCAAAAATGATCATTAACAGGGCATTACTTAGCTGTAAACTCAAAAGAAAATAGATTACTCATTGATATAATCATAAGTAATCATTTCCAGTCATTGATAAGTCGAATACTGGTTGTGATAGTTAATATTTTGTGTGAACTTGGTGGGGCCAGAATTCTCTCTTGTGGTAGTTACATAATTTCATGTCAACCTGAAGATATATAAAGGTGTAGGGGTGGTTTTCAAACCATCAGTCAGGCCACAGCCTGATGGTGCCTCCTTGTGTGTGTGGCCTTCTCATAAGGATATCCCAGGGAACCTCCCCCTCACTCTCTGCCTTGACCTTCCTGCTTGCTGACCTGGAGACCTGCCGGAGCCCTGTCATGTTTCCACCGACCTTGAATCCACATGACTTTGCACACACTGGCCTGTGATCTTCCTGCATTCTGTACCATTGCATGTGGCTGCTCGAGTTTGAAGGGGGACTTATGGACTAGTATCAGATTTACAGACTTGAGTTGGACTGGGCTGTCATGTTTTCTTGATATATAATTACTTCTTTTCTTTTTAATCATTTTATTGGGGGCTTGTACAACTCTTATCACAATCCATGCATCCATCCATTGTGTCAAGCACATTTGTACATTTGTT